GCGTGGTGGTGTGCGCGGAACATTGAGCAAACCCCAGACCCTAAACCGTAAACCGTAAACCCTAAACCCCAAACCCTAAAGCCCTAAACCCTGAACCCTAAACCCTAACCCTAAACCCCAGACCCTAAACCGTAAACTCTAAACCCCAAACGCTAAACCCCAAACCCTAAAACCCTAAACCCCAGACCCTAATCCCTAAACCCCAAACCCTAAAACCCTAAACCCCAGACCCTAATCCGTAAACCCTAAACCCCAAACCCTAAACCCCAAACCCTAAACCCTAAACCTAACCCTAAACCCCAGACCCTAAACCGTAAACCCTAAACCCCAAACCCTAAACCCTAAACCCTAACCCTAAACCCCAGACCCTAAAGCGTAAACCCTAAACCCCAAGCCCTAAACCCTAAACCCTAAACCCGAAAACTCCAACTCGGGATCCTTGGATCGGCCCGCCGATCTGCAAACGTTTGGGGTGAGGTGATGAACAAACACTCCGGTCCCGACTCAATCCGTTCGCCCCCTCATTCACAATCCTTGGGGTTTGAGAGGTTCAGGGTTTAGGCCCTAAACCCTAAGCCCTAAGCCCTAAAACTTAAAACCTAAAACCTAAACCCTAGACCGTAAATCCCAAACCCTAAACCCCTAAGCCCTAAACCCTAAACCCTAAATCCTAAACCCTGAGCCCTAAAACCTAAACCGAAAACTCGAGGGGGAAGGCTGAACGCTTCGGGGTTGGGGGTGTGCTGGCCCCTAATAGGGACGTTACCGACACAACGGGCCCCCCGCCTGTGATGGGGATTAGATGGGTATTGTTATTGTTATGGATCCGAATAATGAATATCACCGGTAGAGTTTAGGTTTTAGCGCCGAGGGCTCAAACCGAAATCCAGGCCCCGAACTACCTAAGCCAAACCGACCAAACCCTCAAACCCGTAAGCTCCCCTAAGCCCCCTCCCCAACAACCCTACACCCTAAACCCTAAAACCTAAACCCAGAATCTTCAAGGAAACCCTCAAGCCGAAACCTGAAGCCCTCAAACGGGAGCACCAGCCTCACGGAGTCTTTGGCAGGAAGCCGAAGCCCTCAACCCCGAATTGGGGTTTAGGGTTTACGAATTAGGATTTATGGTTTAGGATTCCAGGATTTAGGGTTTTGGGGTTTAGGACTTACGGTTTACCGGTTTAGGATTCAGGATTTAGGGTTTTGGGTTCAGGATTT